TTTATTTATTTATTTATATTTATGTTCATACCTATTTGGCTGTTAATAATTTTATTTATTTATTTATTTATTTGTCTATCAATATATTTATTTATTTTTGATTAATAAATTTATTTATTTATTTATTTATTTATTTATTTATTTATTTATTTATTTGCTGCAGCCCTCTTGATTTGCTGTCTGCTGAGCGCGACAACAGATTTGTTTTCCGTTGGCTGTTGTCGTGGAGAGCAAAAATAATAAAAAATAATAAAAATAAAAATAAAATTAAAACGATCGACGCTAAAAACGTGCAAACAAACAAATCGCAAAAGCACGCAGCGCCTGAAGAAGAATCAGAACAACCCAAGGTATGCAGCAGCAGCTAACAGCTGCAGCAGCAGCAGCTAACAGCTGCAGCAGCAGCTAACAGCTGCAGCAGCAGCAGCTAACACCTGCATCAGTAGCTAACAGCTGCAGCAGTAGCTAACAGCTGCAGCAGCAGCCGGCAGCACCACCACAAGCAGCAGCAGCAGCACCACCACAAGCAGCAGCAGCACCACCGCCACAAGCAGCAGCAGCAGCAGCAAGACAATCAGCAGCATCAGGAGCAGCATTAGAAGCACTTATTAATTGATGTTGTTTTGTTTGTTAATAATACAGGTGCTGCTGATAGGGGGGCCCCCGGGCATAGGGAAGACGACTCTAGTGACTGTTGCAGCAAAACAATTAGGGTTTGAGTTAGTTAGTATTAACAGCTCCGACGTTAATTCTGTCTCCTCTTTGCTTCCTATCATCACCGGCGTTGTCTCATGCGGGGACTGCCACTTCAGACCCCACAGCAGCAGCAGCAGCAGCAGCAGCAGCAGTAGCAGCAGCAGCAGCAGCGGGAGCGGGAAGAAACCTGTGTTGCTGCTTCTTGATGAGGTAGACGGATTAGCACATCAGGCAGCAGCAACAACAGCAGGAGATGCAGCAGCAGCAGCAGCAGCAGCAGGAGCAGGAGAAGCAGCAGCAGCAGATAAAGAGACATGCAGGAAGGAGACTCTTATTCAGGCTCTTGTTCGCTTGCTGCAAAAAAAAGAGAACGGCAAATTTGTTGTTAAAAGGTCCACGCAAATATTTTATTAATAATTTAATATTTAGAGATTATATATATTTATATATTTTTATTTATATTTATATTTATATTTATATTGTTTTATATATATACTTATATATATATATATATATATCTACTTATATTATAAAATACATATTTCTATATGTATATATATATATATATATATGTTTGTGTATACATATATATATATACCTGTACGTTTATATATATATATACTTATGTATATATATATATATATTAGTAAATAAGAATAGAAATAAATAAATTAATTAAGTAATGTATAAATGTATTTATAAGTACATCAATAAATAAACAGTGAAGCAAACAAATATATAACCTATTGAGGGTTCTTAATCCCAGGGGTTTAGGGTTAAGGGCCTACCGTTTATGATTTAGGGTTTAGGGTTTAGGGTTTAGGGTTTAGGGTTTATGATATAACGTTTTGGGTGTATCTCCTATTGTTTATATTTAAGGTTTAATAGTTTATGATTCATCTTGTATAATTCTTGAATTAGGGTTTAGGGTTTAGGGTTTAGGGTTTGTGTGTTTCAGGCCGATAATATGTATAAGCAACGATATGTTTGCACGTGTGTTGCGGCCTTTGAGACCTTTCTGTATATTTTTATCTCTACAACCTCCCTCAATAAATAAATTAACTGACAGATTAAAACAAATACTAAACCATCAACGAATGCATGCAGAGAGAGGTGTATTTAACTGTCTCCTTACCGCAGCAAAAGCAGATATGAGGGTCTCGATTAATAATTTACAGTTAATTGCGAGGTATGCGTCCGCTCTTTATTTATTTATTTATTTATTTATTTATTTATTTCTATATTTGTTTATTTATTTGTTTATTTATTTATTTATTTAGTTGTTATTTACTCGTTTTTATTTCTTTTGTCTTGACTTTCTTTTTATGTGTTTGTCTTTGACTTATTTATTTATATTATTTATTTATTTATTTATTTGTTTGTTTATCTGTTTATTTATTTATTTTTCTGTTAATATATCTTTATTTGTATCTTTTATTTATTTCTTTTATTTATATTATTTATTTATATTATTTATTTATTTATTTTTATTTCTTTGTGTCTCTTCTCTGTCTCTTTTTATTTATTTATTATAAATAAATATAATTTATTTATTTATTTGTTCTTCTCTTTTATTTTTGTTTATTAATTAATATTTGTTTATTAATTAATATTTTAGTTTATTAATTAATATTTTAGTTTATTTGTTTTTATTTATTTATATTTGTTTATTAATTTATTTGCTGTTTATTTTTATTTATTTCTTTTATCTGTCTCCTTTCGGTCTTTTGTTTGTTTGATGTTTATTTTATTGTTTTTGTTCTTTTCTTCTTTTTTCTTTGCTTTGCTTGCTTCTCTTCCTGTTGTCTCTGCTGCTGCTGCTGCTGCTGCTGTTGCTGCTGCTGTTGCTGCTGCTGTTGCTGCTATTGAAGTTGTATTTTTGTAGGTTTTGTTTGCCTACTGAATAGCACTAAAGAAATAAATACTTTATTTTTATTTTATTTTTATTTATTTGTTTTATTAGGAGCGTCGCTGCTGAAGGCCGCTCTGTAATTTGTTTACAAGACATTGAAACAGCAGATACAAAGAAAGATGTTCAGCTGTCTCCTCAGCTCTTTATTGACTTTCTTTTGTCTCCTCCGTATGCAAACCCTAAACCCTAATCTACTCTATTTAAACTATTATAAACCCTAAACCCTTAATATATAAACCCTAAACTCTCAATATATTAACCCCAAACCCTTAATATATAAACCCTAAACCCTTAATGTATAAACCCTAACCCCTCATAAACCCTAAACCCTTATAAACCCTTACCCTTCATAAACCCTAAACCATCATAAACCCTAACCGCTCATAAACCCTAAACCCTTATAAACCCTAAACCCTTATAAACCCTAAACCCTCATAAACCCTCCCTAAACCCTTATAAACCCTAATAAACCCTCATAAACCCTAAACCCTCATAAACCCTAAACCCTTATAAACCCCGACAATGTGTGTGTGTGTGTATATTTATTTGTTATCGGAGGTTTTGTTTTGTGTTTGTTTGTTTAATTAATTAGAGAGAAGCCTGATGACAGCCGTTCTTTTACTTCTTTTTTCTTTGCTCATTCTTCTCTGCTGGATGCTGCTCTCACAGCAGCTTTGATTGCTGAAGGCGCTGCGCATGTAAGGAGACAGCTATATTGTCTATCTATTTATTTATTTATTTATTTATTTATTTATTTATTTATTTATTTATTTATTTATTTATTTATTTGTTTGTTTGTTTGCTTTGAAGTAATAAATTATTTAATTCATTAGTTTAAAGGAGACAGAAAGAGACAGAGTATATAAATATATTTATAAAATAAATATAAATATATATAAAAAGGAGACAGAGAGGAGACAGCAGAGACAGCAGAGACAGTAGAGACAGCAGCAACAGGCTGATGCTGCTTTCTTTTGTTTTTCTTAACTTTTTATTTTTATTATTTATCTGTTTATTATTTTTGTTTTATTTCGTCGTCTCCTTTTTTTTTTTGATGTCTCTGCTGCATCTGCATGCAACTCATTTTCTTTTGGCTGCTGCTGTCTCCGTGCTGCTGCTGCTGTTTGTTTGCTGCTGTCTCCTACCTTCTTGCTGCTGTCTCCTTGCTGCTGCTGCTGCTGTGTGCTTGCTGCTGCTGTCTGTCTCCTTTTTATTATTTCTCAGTTTATCTCAGGAGACACCCGCATGCACAAAATCACCCACTTATCGCGTATGCTGCTGCTGCTGCTGCTGCTGCTGCTGCTGCTGCTGCTGCTGCTGCTGCTGCTGCT